ACTTGCACACGTACACAAAGGAAGCATTGTCATATGATCAGCATACCAGCGTTGAAACAGCTAAAAATTAGAAACGACTTATAATTTCTAAATGTGCATGGCCAGGGGACAGCTAAAGGAACGGTGGGGTGCTGAGACCACAGAACACCCTCTGTGGCCACAGCTGATGCAGGGGGCCTTCGTGTGCCAACGTGCGTGGACCTCGGAGAGAAGTGGTTGAGGTCAGTTTTTTAGATGCAGTGTAACGTTCATGTTGACAACCAAAGCAAACAGGACACATCCCATTCAGCAGCCTGAGAGCATGGCTGCCTCTGGGAAGACCCTAGGGAAGCAGATGGGGAGAGGTCGACAAGGAGCCCTGGCTCCCTCCACAACGTCACACTTTTGAAGAGAGGCTGTATCTCTATGTCGCTTAATCCTTAAAAATTAATTTCATAACTTGAATGAGAAAAAAAGACAGGAATTTGGAGACCAGAGACTCTGGGTTCGAACCCTGGCTATGCCACTTGGGTTTTTACTTTGGGTGCTTTGTGTCCCTGTTCAGGCTGTTGGTGGGGGTGCAAACCACTACCTGGCGGAGGGGCAGACAGAATGTCTGGGTGCAGCAAGGGGCACCTACATGTAAATGTCAGTTGAAAGTGAAGGGCAGGTTTATGTGGGGTGCACGTCCCTCTGGGGCTTCATTTCCTGCCAGGCCCAATGGGCACAAGAGCCTTGGCAGTGCCCCAGGCAGTGAGGGATGTGGCCCAGCCAGGCCTCTGGCTTACACAGTGGCATCTCGGGGCATGAGAAGCATGCTGTGCTTTGTGACCCCGAGTAGGGAGGTCAGGGACATGGCACCAACATTTGCAGGGACCTCCAAAATAATGAATGATGAACCCCATAGGGCTGCTGGCGGGGGCAGAGGCCTCCTCCCAGTCACCCTGCAGCTGTTAGCGACTGTTGAAGGTTCCTGAATTATCACCGAAATGATTGGAATTCTGATGGGATTTGGGAATTCTGGTGGGAGATGTGTGTCCTCGCTGTCATTTCCTGCTTGAATGACCTGGAAAGAGCTCCCTCAAAAGGACAATGAAGATGATAACCCTCTCCCCCCACCCCCCCCCCCCCAGGACCAGGAGGGGTGGGCTAAGTGAAGGTGAGCTGCAGCCACTGAGCTGAGATGGGGTTCCAAATGGATTCCCTCCATCCGGGCCACTGGGCTACCCATCACGCCTCTACCCTGAGCTTAAACACAGACCGGCTCCATGTGCGCCAGGAACAGCTCCCGTTAAAAGCGCATGGCTGCTGTGGCCCACGCCCTCCCGCCCTCCACACACTGCTCCTTGCTTCCGACCTCGGCGACCCCAGCACTGGCCCCGCACCCGTCCTTCCCTGACTCCCTGGTAATGTTTAGGTCCAAGCCCGCTGTCTGGAGGGCAGGGAGGTCGATTCTTGGCTCCCAGCACAGAGGTCAAGGTGTGCCATAGAGTTTAGAGTTGGCTGACCCTCCCCTGCAGTGGGGCTGCTCACACCCACTCTGCCTCTGCCCCCTACTTCCCAGTCCATTCCCCAAACTGGAGTCTGAAAGAGCTTCTCAGAACACAGACCTCAGCATTTTAGCCCCTCCTGATGGAGCCCTTACTCATGGGACCAGCCTGCTTTCTGGCTGTAGCTCCCTGTGGTGGCCCCTCTCCTGCCCTGCCCCTTCCCCTCCTCCCGCCGTCCCCTTACCCTACTTAGCAGTAATGGTTTGCTTCTCTTCCACTTCCCACTGGTGCAATCTACAACTGCTGGAACAGGACTCTGGAAATTGTGGTTCCCAGGCGTCCCGTCGTGGCTGGGTGCCCAAGAAGTGCTCCCGTATTCATGGCACCCAGGGTTACACTTCAGGGGACACAGAACTGCTTAGCATCATCTATTGACTCCATCAATCTGCTGCTTCCCTTTCCCAGGTCTCCCCTCCCACGGCTCTGTCTCCTCCCTCCTGAAACACATTAGAACTCAGGCAGACCAGCTCCTATAAGCTTTCCCTGTGGCCGCTCACAGTCTCCCCTGCCCCCCATGCAAATTCATCACTGTGTGTCTTTAGGGTCTCTTCCATCCCAGGGGACCCTGCTCGCTGCTGACAGTGTGGCTATCAAACTGTGACCTTGACTCTGGTCAGCTCCCGTCCTGCATTTTCCAGGCCCTTCACTGCTGCCTTCGGGATGCGTCCTTGCACAGAATCCATGAATTTTCCTTGACCTGATTTCTTCCCTGCACCCTACCCACCTACTCCCCACTGCAGGCCTCTTTGACTGACAGGTTTTCCATTTTAAAGTGGTTTCTTTCTCCCACTTAACAAAGGCCCCTCTGAAGCCGACACCTTCAGAGATAGTCCCTTCCACAGACACTGAGCGCCGGCACGTACCTGGCTCACCAGGTGAGCAGCATGAAGGCCAGCTTCTTCCGACCAGCCCATCTCTCATTTCTGATGTGGTGTTTTAAGATGAAACCTAGTTTCCTGAGAACTCCTTCACTTTTTAGGGCAATTTCCAAGGTATCCTTTACTCCAGCATTTGATCATAACTCTTTTTCTAAATCCAGATGCACCGGAAGATGAAGTTTGGAGAGTATTTTCTCACCAGGAAGTTAAGAAATAACACTGCCAAGCAGCATCCATTTCAATAGCTGTATTGGAACATGGTGGGAACACAGATTGTGGACTTGGGGGCTGCCACAGATGTTCCTCCTCCAGGCAGCCTGCGCCCCACTTCTGCAGCCAGCAAAGGCACCGAGGGGCCTCCAGAAGGGCGGGGGTAGCTGTGATGGCAGGTGGCGTGTGGACACCTTGCCCTCAGCCCTGACCAGCTGTATCTGTGATCAGCCAGACCAGTCTTATGCCTCCAATGATTTGGCCACGACTTAGAGACCCACCTGCCTTAGACTCTGGAAAAAACTTCCAAGGAGGGGATTGTGGGGCTCCCAGAAGGAATCCAGCTAAGAGACTGGATAATTGTGGCTATTGGGGGAAATCATGCCTTCTGGTGTATTGGTGGATAAGCTGCTTAAAGCTCCTACTATGTGCCAAACAGTCTTCTAGGGTCTAGAGACATACAGTGGCCAACAGACACAGGCAGCCCTTTGTGGGGCTCAGTGGCCATGAACCAGGAGGTCACGGTTTGATTCCCAATCAGGGCACATGTTCAGGTTTTGGGCTCAATCCCCAATAGGGGGCATCCAGGAGGCACCTGATCAATGACTCTCTCATCATTGATGTTTCTATCTCTCTCTTCCTCTCCCTTCCTCTCTGAAATAAAAACATTAAAACAACAACAAAAACAGACACAAGCAGAACCCGTGACCTCCTGAGTGAACAGGGGCCAGGAAATCACAGACAGCCATGTATCACAACCACGCCAGCGCTTCCCAGGACAGTGCTGGGGGTGTGCGTCAGGCCTGGCCTATAGGGAGGGTCAGGGAAGACTTCCTCCAGAAGTGCTTTTAGCTGAGATTGTGGGCAGGAAAAGCATTTCAAGTTGTGGAAACAGCTTTGTGCATGGACCGAAAGGTGGGCCATGGGATAGACAGTTTGCATTTGCGGTGGGGCTGTGGGTGGGGCGTGGGCTGGAGGGAGACGAGTGGGGAATGCTGAGGGGGGTCCAGAAGCCATCTCATGGTCCTGACGGAGGGGTCGGCGGTGGGATGGAGCGATGACAGGGCAGGTGGAGAGGATGCCAGGACTGACCCTCAGCCTTCAAAATCTGAGAAGGGGAATCCCGGGAGAGGAGCAGGTGCTGGGAGAAAGGTCAAGGGTAGTTGTGGACATGCTCAGGGTGAGACGCGGTGGAGGCAGCAGTGGGAAAGCTCCCAGGAGTCTGGGCTCCAGATACAGATCTGCTCAGAGATAAGTCTCTGGGTAAGGTCAGTCTTCAGGGTGTAGACGAGGCCACAGAAGCAGAGAAATCTCCTCGAGAAGAGGAGGCTCGGGGAGCAGCCACACTGATGGCTGGGAGAGGACAGGGAGCTACAGGGGGGACTGGAAGGCATGGTGGGCAGGGAGGGGACACCAGGACGGGGTCTTGGAATGAGGGGAAGAGTGGGCTCAGGGGCGCAGTGGTCAGCGAGGAGAGTCCATGGACACCTTCACCTCTCTGCGGCTGTCACCACCCTATACACAGGACGGGGGAGTAGAGATGCTCAGAGGGGTCCCCTGACTCGGCCAAGGTCATGCATCCTAGCAGAGGGTGCTGGGAGTCAACTCCTCTACTCAGGTCTATTGCATCCCCTCAACTCCTTCCCCTCCCTCCCTGAGGCCCGGCACACTTTCCCCAGCAAGTCTACTCCTGCTGCAGCATGAGGGACCCCCAGGCTCCGTCTGAGCCTCACGGGTGGGCTCAGTCAAGGAAACGTCTTGACCTCTTTCCCAAGAGGCAGTGTAGTGTTGTGTTGAGAACACGGGCTGGAGGCCTGGCTTTTCACCCCTCCTCCCGTTCCTTCACTTGTTCATTCATTCATTCCTTCAACAACTGTTGGACCAGTGCCTCCTATGAGCCAGGCGCACATTCTAGCTGCGTGGCCTTGGGTAGGCCCCGTGCTTCTCTGAGCCTCAGTTTCCACCTCTGTAAAGTAGGGACAGTGGTCCTTGTCCCGGGTGATAAGGATTATGGGAGCTCATGCAGGCGAAGTACCTCGAATATAGTAGGTGTTCATTGAAGGCTAATTTCCTCCTTTCCCTTCCCTCCCTTTATCCTGCAGAACCCACAGGGAACGAGAGGCTAGTACTTTATGGCAACACCCTCTGCTGTGCTCAGAGGGCACGTTCACATACGTGCACACACGTATACACATCCCGCATGTCCCCCCATCTCTGCTCAGGACTCAGGGCCAGCACCACTGTGAGCTTGGGCTCAGAGAAGTCCTGAACACCGCTCTGGGAATGCTGAGTACAGACAGGGCCTGTGGACCCTGGCACCCCAGTGTGTGCTCTGGGAGTCACTGAGGGGGCCTCCTCGGTGGCTTTGGGGGCCACTGGGCCCTTAGGGGCTCCACGAGTCACATCTTGGTGACCGGGAGCAGTATCTTCAGTGTCCTGGGGCCGGGTCTAGGCAGCCTGGGAGGGTGGTGTCCTCAGTGGCTGCTCCGAGGGGCCTCCCCCGCGTCTCTGGAGGAACCGACGTGCCCACAGACTCTTGCAGCAGCTCAGAAGGTTGCTGGAGCTCACGGTGCAGGACAGTGCAGGCTTCCTGAGGAGACACAAGCACAGGTCAGGGCTGCAGCGACTGCCAAACGAGGCCCGTGGGGCCAGGGCCTAGCCTCTGGCCTTTGCTTCTTCTATGTCAGGCCCCAAGAAGGGTGGGGTGGGAAGGGCACTGGCCACCCATGTATAGTGGTAACTTCTTCCCTCAGCCCACAAGGGGGAGCATTCTAGACACCTGCTATCAAATCCCAAATCTGCTTCTAACATGTTGTGTGTCCTTGGTCAAGTGACTTAAGCCCTATGCATATGAAGTATATGAGGTTAACTACCTTTATATATAATACTAGAGGCCCAGTGCATGAAATTTCGTGCATGGGTAGGGTCCCTAGGCCTGGCCAGCGATCAGGGCCGATTTGGGCCTTCCCGCTGCTGGCCGGGGCCTTCCTTCATTCCATGCTGCCCCCTGGTGGTCAGCACATGTCATAGAGAGTGATTAAACTCCCAGTCTCCCAGTCAAACTCCCCAGGGGACTTTGCATATTAGCCTTTTATATATATAGAATATATACCTTTACATATATCCTTTATACCTTTCTAATTATTGAAAGGATTAACTGTTCTAAAGACTGGCTCAGAGTAGGAGCCCAGTTAAAGCTTGGTATTTCTGAATCTTAATGAAAGGATTCCTGAACACCCACAGCATGCCTTGCATGAGCTGGGGGAAGGTTGGGAGAATGTGGCACAAAGATTTAGTCAGCCTGGCATCCAAGTCCGTTGTGAGCAACTCTGTCTCTCCACTAGAATGTCTGCTCCCCGTAGGCAAGATGCTTGCCCTCCAGACCCTGCAATGTGGCTGGCACTCAGTAGGTCCTCAGCGAATGCCAAGCTGATGGAAGTGGAGGCCACTGAAGGTGTGTAAGCCAAATGCTTGGTAGGACAGTTTTTCCCACAAAGTATTTGACATACATTTTGGAAAGCAGAGGACTTCCCTTACTTGTGGGCACACAGAGCTCCTCCGCCTGCCGCCTGCGAGGATGTGGGTGGCAGCCCTGCTTTGCCTTCAGCGACATTCACTCAGATTCCTTCCTCGTCCGTATTGCCAGCCCTGTGGGGTCGGAGGCAACGGCTCAGCCAGACTCCCGGGTTTTGGCCCCTAACACCTGCATCTGCCTTTGTAACAGAGCACGGCCAGGCTGAGAGCTTTGACCGGCAGTTGGATCTGGCCACACTGATGACAGTTTTGAGTTATTGCATCATTTTCCACACATGATACTGCATTTCTATTTGTGGTGACGGTATAAAAGTTCCTTATAAATGTCTTTCAGTGGAAACAGAGAGCTGGTGTAGACATCTAAGCGTGTATAACGCAGGTGGGGGAGGGCGATGAGCTGGACGGAGAGAGGATTTGCAAACAACTGTTGTTTGGAGAGTGTGGTCACAGTCCCTGGCCATGCCAGCTCACCCTTGGCTCAAACAGAAGCCAAGGGGGTCCCTAGAGATTGTTTTGGGCAGATCTGCAGCTCCAGGGCAGGGCAGGGTCTGGCTTCAGCTCTAAGGCCATAAATTCTGCCTCGTTTCTCACATCCTTGCCTAGGCTGGAGTGGCAGCTTTCCTTGTCCACTGTCAACCAAAGGAGCTGTCCATCCCTTGGCCCCGAGACCAGTCTTGGTTCCTGGGGATGTCCCATGAAGCTCATTCTGCCTTAGCTCCAGCCGTTATCTGTGAAGCCACCGGGGAGTCAAGCTCACCGTTCCTTCTCCCTCCCGAATGGAGAGAGGGAGAACTTCCCCTTGGGGCCCCTCAGGTGGGAGCTGTATATTTGAATGCCTGACTTTGCAAGGCTTTGTGAGCAAGGACACAACCAACGGCCACAGCCAACACCCATGTGTCCTTTAAATGCTGGAGGCCCCAGCTCTCCTTCCCCTAGCACACCCAGCCTCCCTGGACCTCAAGGTCATATCTCTGGCCCAGAGGTATGCTACAGTGTATATATTTGACCACACAGGCAGGTAGGTATCTACCCTTGGGTCAATATTCCAGACCTAGCCTGTGCCTCTGATAAAGTGACTTTCACTGAAATGAGCAAAATTATCAAAGAAAGGCTAGCTCTAGGCTAGGAAATAACTACCTCCCTTCTCCTAAAGGGCTGAACAATCACTTAGAATAAGATTACTATGAAAATATCTCATGTTCATGATAAAATAAAGAACATAGAAATTAACAAAACAAAATAAACATCTCAACTAACTCCTCTACTCAGACATACTTTTGTTACATGTCAATTTCATTATTAAATATTTTAAAATGAAATGCATTCATATATCCAGAGACTATAAAAACACATACACATGGTTTAGAGAAAACAAAAGAATATTAAATGGATGCAGGTGTAACCACCTCTCAGGTTGAGAAATAGAACTTTACTAGCCTTCAACGTTTGTTTCAGCAAACTTTTATGTTTCCCTAAACAATATATGGTGTTGTTCTGGCTGCCTTTTACTTTTATAGACATGCAATCATGTTTCATGACTTTTTCTGTAGCTATCTTTGTGGTGGTTGTTGTTTAATGTTAGATTTATGAGATTAGATTGTGTCATGTGTGAATCTATGGTTCATCTTCACTGTTGTGAAGGATCCCATTATGTGGATACTAGAGGCCCAGTGCATGAATTCATGCATGGGTATGGTTCCTCGGCCTGGCTGGTGATCAGGGCCGATTGGGGCCGTCTCACCCAGTCTAGCCAGCCCCGATCAGGGCCCATAGGGACCAGCCGGCTGGGGGGAGGGACCACAGGAGGTTGGCTGTAGGAGTGCACTGACCACCAGGGGGCAGCTCCTGCATTGAGCATCTGCCCCCTGGTAGTCAGTGCATGTCATAGTGACTGGTCGACCAGTCATTCGGTCGACTTATCATAATGGTCACTTAGGCTTTTATATATATAGATACTCCAGTTTATCCACCCCCTGTTGAGGGATATCAGAGTTGTCTCTTGTTTTTTACCATTTCCCTTCTCATGCTTACTTTTGAATCTACACCAGGGTGGCCTCATCACATAAGTGGCCAAGTTTCCCTTTTTCTCTCCTCTGATAGAGTTTGTCAGGACTGGAACGAGCTGCTCCTTGAGTGTTGGGTGGAACTGCTTTGTAAAGCCAAGTGCTGCTGGTATTCCATTCATTTCATTTATTTCTAATGCTTAGAGGACCAGTCAGTTTTTCTATTTCTCCTCAAGTCAGGTTTGGCAAGCCCTGTTTTGCTAGGAATTTGTTCACAGTATCTGAGTTTTCTCTTGTTTGGGGCATAAAATTGATCTTACCATTCTTAATCTCTACAGCATCCTAAATAGTATTGCCCTTTCATGCTTAATATTATGTATTTATGGCATTAATGATTAACTTCTCTGTGTAGTTCTGTCAATTTTACTTTAGATAGTTTTGAAGTCAGTTTATTTGGTACATGCAAGTTATCTTTCTGGTGAATTGAATCTCTAAAAATATGATGACAATCTTAATCTTGAGTGATACTTTTTGCTTTCTGTTCACCTTGTCTGATATGAATTTAGCTACACAGATTTATTTTTGTTAGTATTTGCCTAGTTTATCTTATTTTTCCTTCCTTATACTTTCAACATGTTTGTCTCCTTATGTCTCGCTTGGATATAAAACATCAAGCCTGACCTTCATTTTTTTTTTCCATTGGCCAGCTTGTTCTATTTACAGGTACTGTGATTACTAATCTATCCTGACAAATTTCTTCAATGTGATTTTGAGTTTTATATTTGCCCCACCTTTTCTCAAATTTCCCATTTTTCCTTGCTTTGTCTTAAGTTGCCTTTTTTCTCATTCTTTTTCCTCCTTACCATATGGAATTTTACCTTGTTATGAAATTTTAGTAACACGCATATTTAACATTGACTTAAGTCCAGTGGCATGGAGTCCCTCCTCCTTTGCTTAGCTTGCCATCCATGCCGAGTGAGAGCTGGGATGAGACACCGCGCTGGCTTCCCACATTGTGTAGACTCTATTACCTTACACACTTCTAGAGATGCTGGTAGGTTTAAGATTGCTGTGCCCCCTTCATGGCCCATCTTTGCCCTGAGCCCTGACACTTAAAGCTAAGGGATTTTAATGGGGTTCTAGGAGAGCACAGAATACGGTGTCTGCCACTCCATATGTGCCTGTGGTAAACACCTGTCACTTTCACCCCTCCTCCCCCATTCCATTCCGCTCCTCTGGGGAACAGCACCTGGACTTTTCTTTGGGATCCAAACTTCCCACTCATAGTCTGTGGGTGAGGTGGGGTTGACCTCTTATTCTTTGCCCTGCCTCCAGGTGTGGGTTTGAGAGTACACACATGGCCCAACCCAGCCAATGAAACGGAAGCCTGAAACCTTGTGTTGAAGCAGTAGGAAAGGGACATATTTCCCATGGGGCCATTACAATGGTATGATGTCAGCTTGGCATGTCAGTGGCACCCTGGGGAGACTCTGACTGAGAATGAAGTCACCATAGTGTGAAATTGAGTTGAAAGCTGGAGAAAGACACATTTCTAATGACATTTAAGTATTTGGACCCAGTCATGCTTGAAGCTGCTCTGGTCTCTTCAGATCTATGAGCCAGTTTTTTCTCTCTGCCAATCCCAGTTTCCTTTAATTGGCTTTCTGCAGCGGGCAGTCAACGGCATCCTGACTAATAGTAACCCTAAGTAAACGTTCTTTGAACTGAATCTCATCTTTTCATGTAGAGGCTGTTATACTTCGTCTCGCCAGCAGGGGTCAGGACCCAGTTTCAGAGCTACTCTGTATGAGAAGCCTCTGTTTTCTCCTCTAGGACATGTTACTAACAGCAACCTCACGGGACTGCTGTAAGGACCACAGGTAATGAACGTCAGAGCCCTGACCATCACCCAGTAGTACTGACAGTGCAGCTGCTCACACCCGCAGAAGCACCGCGTGCACGTGACTCTGCTCTCCTTGTGCTTGCCCCACGGCACCTGCTGTTCCCAGTGCTGCAAAGGCCTTCATTCATGGACTCATTGATTCATTCATTT